TCACAAGAGAAAACAGTGTGCATTGTTATAGTTGAAACACTAAAAGTTGCCTGAGGGTACCGACACCCTAGACAATAATACAGCTTCAAAAAGATCAGACAAAACTAGTGTGTCTATTAAAACACAGTCCACATGGATTTGCTCCATTGATATGTCAGGATTTAAAGCGTATGATACAATGACCTGAAACATCAAACAATCTCACAGCAAGTTTATAAAGGATCCTTTTTCCACTGTGGCGGTTCATTCAGCACCTTGAAAAATACAGAATGGCATTAAATATCATGAGCTGGGATGGTTGTCAGACACAGTCTGAAGGAGAATCAAAAGAGGTTCAATCTGTTAAATAGCTTACACTAAAGATGATTAAGTGCCACCATAAAGCTGTTGGCTTTTATTGTCTTTCACGCATTCAAACTAATGTTAAATGTCACTGTAACACATTAGCATATGGATAGAAGTGAAAGAACTAATCATGCATTGAATAATCGTGCATCCTTTCGAATTGTGATCTAAATGTATAACTGAATGAATTATAAAGACAAAAGGGCTTTGTTATAATGTCTGAAAGATCATTGAGAGTGAAATGCCAAAGCTTTATCAGCATTCAGACTACACATCTGAGAATGGTCGAGTTAATCAGTTGAAATTCATTTGTAGTTTGCTATTTTTAGGCATCTGTTGTTACCTAGCAGGGACGATTCAATATCTGGTTGGTTCCCTACAGTTATTAGCCTTGGTGCAGAATGTGCAAAGGCTGTTTTCTGTATGATTACTAAGTCAACAATAAAAAAAGTGTATATACTATCTCTCAATCTCTTCTTTTCTATTTCATTCTTTGTTCAAGATCGCTGGAGAAAAAGCACCTTACATCATTTCTGTTTCAATCGTGACACTATAATACATTGGCATGCCAGAATACAAGTTTTTCAAACAAACAAACAAACTGCACAAATTTACAGACCAATGCATATTATTTTAAGATTCGTTTAAACACTTAAAAGGGTATGAGCTAATCTCTCAAGAGATCATACAGGCAAACATCAAGGTGATAAAACTAAATGGCTGGAAAGGCTCTTGACGCAGAAAGCTTTTTAATTTCAGAGTCTGCTCTTTTATGTTTCCTCTCAGCTGCACTGAAATGAATGTGTTTAGAGGGAAAACAACGGAAAAGTTTGCTAATTAACAGATGGAATTAATGCGGACGGAACACAGTATAATACAGCGGTAAGGCAAATCCACAATCTGCAGCATCACAGGAAAATAAACGATGTCTAAGAGCTGTGAGCTTGCTGTCTGAATTAAATGTGATGGGAGAGGAAGACTAGCTGTGAAATAATATATACCAACACTAGAAATAAATATATAAAATCTATATGTACAGTGGGGAAAAAAAGTATTTAGTCAGCCACCAATTGTGCAAGTTTTGCCACTTAAAAAGATGAGAGAGGCCTGTAATCACGATCATAGCCTCTCTCATCTTTTTAAGTGGGAGAACTTGCACAATTGGTGGCTGACTAAATACTTTTTTTCCCCACTGTATGTGTTTATTATCCAAAGCAACTCTGAGTGCATTTAAAATAAACATTTTGACAATATATCTGTTACCTGGGAATTGAACCCACGACCTTAGCATTAATCTCTATAGTCCCATCTAGAACATATATAAAAAAGCTGCCTCTTACACGGACACATGGGCTGAACTCTCCGCTCATCATGAATTATCCAGAGAATCTGACATTGCTTTGAAACACATTTCGGCTTTCTGGTACCATCTAGCATTTCAGGCCTGAGGGCTCTTGAGAGCGAGCCTCCATACCACCATTCGCCAAAATCCCATCTCCAAACACTTTTCACATTAAAAGTCTAATCTGGATGGACACTGCTTCTCCAAAATTAAGAAACAGGGCTATATTTACACATGGTCTTCACACTTTCAGTCTGTGATGTCCAGCTCCTCGGGGGTCTGGCTGGTCTGGTTGAGTTATTCTACCTGCATCCAGGAGATATATGTGCCCTGTAAGTAAAGGGAACTAATTCCTGGTAGAAGCCTGGCTGTTTGCCTGGCAGAGATAGTCTGATAAGATCAGAGCTACACAGTAGCCTCATTTCTCCATATTTCAGCCTCTGCTGTGAAATTCCCACAGCAGTAGGCTGCCACAGAGTTTCCAGACTGTGGTACTGAGGTCTGACATTGGGTAAAGTTCAGAATAGTTGAGGAGGACTAATTGCCTTCATTAGTTATTCAGTGACCGTTTTGTGCAGAAATCCTCTGAAACACACTGTGGTCTCTAACAAAATGGGATGCAACCACTTGTGCACACCAAGAGTCCCTGGCCCATTCATTATCAAAGCTCAGAGAGAAACCCCATTCAAACAGTTACAGAAACTCCAAACTTCTCATTTTAATAGAAAGCATTTGCCAATTTCCTACAAACAATATGGTGGGGTGAAACAGAGATTTGCTGCTCTAATTAACTGCCTGCAGGATAGGAAACATAATGAACATGGTAACTTGTTCTACTTTGCATATTAAACAAGCAAGCATACACTAGAATTCCCCCGTGGAAATGTTATTTTAAATTGATGTAAAGCCAACCATCCCATATTTAATGGCTATACTATATAAAGTATCAAGCTCTGAATATTAATTATTTGATGCAGCAAAAAAAAAAAAAAAAAAAAAAAAAAAAAAGTAAAAATACATAGTTACTCCAGTATAAACTCATGTTCTTATCGGGAGACTCAACAGGCACACGAGTCGACAGAGCGACAGGCAGAAGCTCTCTGCTTCACAAGCACAACTAACTACAGGCTTGCTGAACAGCTCTGACACTTGTACCAGCCCTAAAAACAGCATGAACTCCTACACAATCAGTCCATTTCCGCTCCACAAGTCCCTGAGGATGGCATGAGTATCCCTGTTCTGCAGTGTACAAGAATCTAAAATGATCTGCTTATGTAGGAGTATGACAGCATGCTCTCAGAGGCTTTATTCATGAAGACATTCACTGAAATGCTAAATTTAAATTGCCGGCCAAAAGTGGCAAATGTACACACATATGATTCAGTTATAAAAATGACATTTCTTTAAAAAGCAGACACAAGAATTATTCTTTAAGATCAAACAACCTCTTCGATTACATTCACACCTTTGGCGTTTGGAACTAACAACTGTATTTACTGGTAATCTTAAACTGTCTCATTCACACAACAACAGTCAGAGGTGGATAAAATACTGCCAGTATGATCAAGTAGCCAAAACCAGTGACTCGAATAATGCCTGTAACCATGGTAGTAGTAACAGATGTCAATGGAAAATGTCAAATATCAATGGGTATCATTTCACATATCACCCAAACTTGTGATTAAAATTTGTCTGAGACTCCAGTAATTTTAAACTAGTTTGAAATAGTTGTAAAATTCAGGCAAATAAACCTTTTACATATTAAAAGTAAACGATAAACAGTCATTATATTAAATCTATATTATAATCAATTCTACGTCATTACTATTTTGCCTTAAAAAAAAAAAAAGGAAAAAATAAATAAAAATACAATAAATCGTATGAAAAATGAACATACATTTTGAGATTTGCTAAAGATTTAATTTAACAGTGTTATTGAATTATTAGTTTATATCTAAAAAAAATTAAGACAGTGTTACATGATAGTAAAGGTAAAAGTAATGTAAAAACAGAAGAAATTACCAAAAACAATTAAATATCCAATATCTACAGATAATATATATCCAATATCAATTGATAATGTAAAAAAAAAAAACTATCAACCTAAATAAACAATTAACAACAAAAAAAATTAAATACACACATATTGTTCATCCCTAAAATAAATAAAAGCACATTTTTCTGTAAATTTAGCCAAAGTCTCTTTATATGGAACCAAGACAGGTATGAATTTCTCAAATACTATGAAGCCCAAACCAAAGAAAAGATTTGAGTCTCTGGAATATAGTCTTAAAAATAATTATGGTACTTATTTGTTTTAATATTTGAGTAGCAGCTCTTGCTCAAGGAAACAATGAGGCATTAGGTTTATCTAGGAGCCACACTTTTGTTAACCACACTTTCCCTTTATCCACTAGACTATCACCACACCTGGATTGCAAAATTTCCATTTGGGTCAAAAACTTTGAAACCACATGAAATAAGGACACAGTACCTCCGAGGCTGGTATGGGAGCTTTCTCTGGCACAGAGTAAAAGTTTCTGACTGGCTTATAAATCATGGAACAATCATCTGAGACAACCCAAACATTTCTGACATTATAATTTCCTGAGGAGAGGAGTGTCTTATCAGCCTCTGATATGATTCCAGCCTCATCGCCCCCAGACACTGATGCAACAAACACACAAAATTATTCCTGAGCGGAAAGATAAACAGGCATCAGCGAGGTAGAACAAACAAGCTATATGGACAACAGAAAGCCTGCATTCAACACAATGGATACTCATAATGCTATTTTTAGGCTGACTCAAATCTTCAGTCCAACTCTATCAGAATGCTTGTCATTTGGATGGCCCAGATGGTGAAACTTATCTATAGAGACAAATCCAATGCAATGCAACCAATACTCCAGTACATTGTTTGTTACTTTCCTCTCCTCAACACTAAACTGTCATTACCATAATGATTCTCTTGAAGAATGTCTCATCCAGTCAGGGTCACAGTATCATTACATAATCCTTTGCAGCACAGCGGCTTTCACACTACAAGATTATGCTAATGGACTTATAGCTACATCTGGACCCACAGGCGTGAGTGTAAAACAAACCTAATCTGGAACACAATAATTGTGCGCTGAATAACCTTCCCTCGATTACTCAAGTTAACTGGAAGATACAGTGCAAAATATGTGTGTAAAAGCTGATATACAGCGATTTACCAAACCACTTCGAGAGCTCGACATTATAGAAGATTGTGGTTAATTAATGATATGGATTGAATAATAAAGTGAGCAATGCAAGCTGCAGCCAGATACCTTTTTGTCCTTGGTGACATCTTCCTCTTTCTTAGCCACATCCAGGTCAGTGACTCCGCGACTGAACTCGTCCATTGTGCTGTCAGGGAGGGGAATCTCAAATGCATCTATGTCTGTCTCATCTGCAGCCGGCTTTTCAGCCCCTGTGAGCTCCCGCCCTTTAGAGAGAAACAATTCATCTAGATAAGCATTTATTACAGAGATGGAAAGCATGATATACGTTGGGATTAAAGGAAAAATTCAATGAAAAAAAATATCCCATTGCAAGCTTTTTAAGCATGAGCCTTTTTATATGTTTACGCCAAGCATTGCTTTGCTTTGTTGAAACATGAAAACTATAGAGTTTAAAGGGTCTGTTTTGCAGTAAGTGAGATTTAAAAAATGTTTTTTTGCCATTATTAACACAGTTATGTACACAAATAGATTTATTCTGGCCAAACACTGATGTTGTCTGTGTAAACTGTGGATCCCCTTTGGGACGGTGGTGTTACAGATATGGGGCCACATGTTATGACCACACCTTCACTCGGTCTGTACAGCGGGTCTGTATTTCTGGAAATGTTGAGTTGACAAGTTGACATGACATGGCAAGCAGTAACTGCCGTATCCTGTGGTGCGACATGCTATACTACATGTAAAACTATTTTGAACAACATTCTTGTATTGTAATTACTTATCATGCATTGGATTTTTTACATTAATTGAGGGACTAAATTATATATTTTTATTTTTCAATGTCACGCCGTAGTAAATTGCTATATATAAACAAATAAATCAATTCATTGTCATTAAATTAAAATACAATTTGGAGGGATTATAGCTATTTTAGGGTGACAGTTTAACCCAGATCATAAACTGTGTATTGTGTTACTGAACATAACACGAGTTAAAAAAAGAAAATAGTACTGAGGTCAGAGGCATTTACTCCACACTCAACTACACGTACACGGTCCTCCACAGATCTTCACTGACATTTCCACATGCTAAAAGGCAATTGTGGAGCAGAAAAAAATCAAATAAAACTCTGTATCTGGCCAGATGGAAAACAAAACAAAACAAAATCCCATTCCTATTCACAGCATATTGCACAGTGGCCTAGACATTTTATTTTCCCCATTTGTCTAATATAAACTATTAACTAATATCAATATTTATGTGAATTTAATTATATATTAAAAAAAAAACAATTAACAAATTTGAAGCAACAATGTGTTAATTATTGGCACAAAGATGCTAAAATATGTTTAAAACTCCAACCACTTTATTTTTCTCTCGCACATCTACAATAAAATCAAAATCGATAAAAATCATGTGTTTACTATAAATTCGATTTTTTTTTTTAAACTTAGACAGCTATATCAAAAACTCCTCTTGCTGGCATAAATATGCTCAAGCAACTTACATAGGATGTTAAAATATGATTTTAAAACTTCATAAACGTAGGCTGTGATGCACTATACTTATTTGTCGGCAGGTTTTGAAGTAATTTAAGCAGTTACATGGTTTTTTGGTTATGAAGTGTCAGTTCTGAGAACGGATCGCAGTTCCTCCTGTGGAAAGGGGTTATTAAGGTCTCCCTGTCCTAACACTGGGACTGCAGTGGAGCTGTTAGACATAGTGAGTCCCATCCATGTGACACTGCAGCGTGTTGGTGCTGGGGAATCCTGTGCGGATTAGATGCAGTGTGTGGGTGAATGAGAGCTCATTTGCATTTGAAAAGAAAACCTGTCTGGAGGGAGCTGTGGGAGGATGATCAGCCTGAACCCATGGCCCATGCACCATGAGATCTGCCCCTCAGACACAAGCAATCATATATAGGTGCTGTACCATGCTGCCTATCAAAGCCCCCGCTCACAAAGACTTCTTCTAACTCACTGTGCTGGATTGCACAAAAATACCTCGAACAACCGCATGGATTTTCCCTTTGCTAAATCAAAGTGTGTCAGAGATCAGCAGCAACATCACTCATCTGTAATCCCATCACACCAAATTCAAGAGGCACAAACAGACAATCAATTACAGGGAGTTCGAAGAATAAAAACCTGTCGTGAAAGATGACTACACTGACAAAGAAGTGGGAAGAAAAGAGTTCATTACGGTACCTGGTACTCCCGAATCTGTGCATGTCTTGTCAGCATCACCATCTTCCTGGCCATCTGCGTTCTGCTGGGTGTGCTGCAGGCTAAGTTTATGACAGACCTCAAAAGCCTGACCCACTGTCCGCACTATTCGCATTGCTTGGCTCTGCAGAGAAATGAAAGAGTGCTTAGTATTATTAATGCACTGAAACCAATGTTCCTGGCTGAAACAAAACTTCTGCAAGTCAAAACTGAAAATGCTAATATTTATCACACAGAATGAATAATACAAGGACTTTTATTAGAAATTAATGAATGGACCATGTACTTATATCCTGTACACCTGGATTGTATACTTCCACCTACTGGACATGCATTTCTTCTGGAATTACATTAAATCCAGCATAACTATTAGATAACCAAGTAACAATGTCCTTTCATAATAAATTAAGCAAATAAATATGCAAACATGCAAAGAAATAATTAATTACACAAACAAATGAGCAAATAAATATATATGCAAAACAAATAAGCAAATAAATATAAATACATAAGTATACATAAAAGCATACGTGAATAAATATGCGAATGAATGAGCAAATGAATAAAGGATAGATATACAGACAGACAGACATAGACAGAAAGACAGACAGACAGTTATTCATAAAGAATAATAATAAAAAAAAGACATGCTGCACTGAAAGGTAAATATTACACAAGTTTTAAGAGCAAAGCCCTCTGTGGTGTGCGCATAATACTCATCGCATTAGCTCAGAATGTCAGATGAGGGCCACAGAGGGGGTCTGTGTTTTCTGGCTCAAAGTGTCCGGAAGAATCTGAAAGAATGCCACCTTTTTTCTTTTTTTTTGGATGGTTTGCAATGTTGGATGCCTATCTTTTTTCGCAACTGAAAGTTACAGTCAAAATCTGACACTAACTGAGGGAAATTCTTTGTTATGACTAAATCATTTGATAAATCACGACAGCTTTTGATTTCCTTCCCACACTTTTAATCAGATGGTATGCTGCTGTTAGCCAGCAAATATGGAAAACAGGAATGCTGCCAACCATATAAGCAGACAATCAAACGAAACTAGGAATTTCAAAATTTAACATCAATTTAAATGTTATTAAAACTTAAAAATGACCAAAAGCTTTGAACATACCATAGTTTGTCACAAAAGCAATACAGTAACATCACATTAAAAGAGGTATGGAAAGACATTTAATTGGAAACCGATGGCACTTTTTCAACTAACTTTCAGTTTTCCATGGAATAAGTCTCTATTTTGAGTGCCATGTTGTGTAAATTGTTAGTTGTGACCATCCATTAAGTGTTAAAAAAATAACTCGTTACATTTCAACACTGGATACAACCATCGGTCTGCAGACTCCGTAAGACTACTAAACAAAAACTACCTATTCTACTGAAGATCTGTTATCAGTATTTTGATAGGTGATAGCGAAAAATGGAACGACAACATTATTTCAGCTAAACCGTTTGAGTCTGTAGTCAGTACAAAGTGAAATCATCAGTGTCAATCTATTCCCAGTTTATTGAGAGAACACTTGATGTACAATTACCCAGAGCAGCTCTGTATTGCTCGGTCTGTAATGAACTGCGATGCCGGGGTGAAATGGGCCAGACGGAGCTTTCAACTCAAATGAGCGACTTCTTTCTAAAGAATCTTTGTTAATAAAGAAAATAAAGAATACTTTTTTCTTGATTGCCTTTCGACACAGCCAAATTTCTGCAGTATAATCTATAGCTATTGACGAGTCACATTTTTTATGAGAGAAATATTGAGTCCATGTGTCAGGCTTTCATAACTGTTTTCAATGCTACATATAGTTTAATATTGTAATCTCATACTGCAATCTCATTACAGTGTGCTCATTTTGTATGCTATTTGCAATTTCACATCTAAAGAAGAATGAGGCATGAAACAATACAAAGTCAGGTTATAGATGACTGGGAAGTTTTCAGTATTCAGATTAGTGTCTGTTATGTCTCTTGCAGCCTTTTATGTGAAAGATCTGCTCAGACTTACAAAACAAACAATACACGGACTAGTTTAATTGAAAAAATATATATATTATGTTAATTTGCATTTAGGTCTTAACTTCACTCATTTTCTGATGCGTAAATCAGGTACAAGGCACACTTTAAAATGTTTGTTAATTCGACAGAAAATTTTTTAATGCTACCATAAGAACCTGTTAATTTGCAAGTTACCACACCATCTGTGGTAGTTTGTATTTTCTCTCAGCTGTGCCAAAAACTAATTTGGGGGAAAAAAAAAAAAAAACTCATTGGAAAAAAAAAAAAAAAAAAAGAAAAAAAAACAATATTGCAATAATGCAGTAAACCATAACTCTTTACAATAAGGTTAACAAATGGTTGTATTAAACATACTAATTTATATTACTGATAAATTATTTGTGTGAGTGACCCTGTGCATCCACTTGTATTATTATGGTGGTTATCAGTACATTTTAGGGTAAAACACAGTTTTTGCCATCCTGTAGTACTTGAATCATGGTCACTATTTTTTATGGTGAATTTAAAGAAAGGAAAAAAAACAATGTGGTGATGATGTGGTGACAATGCAGTCATACTGTATTTGTCCAAATACAGTCCGCATATGCCTATGCCTATTATATTTGTCGTCGTGTATTTTCACATACACTTCTAGTACAGTCTGTTCTCAAGCCCTTAGCACTCTGAGATCATGGAGTATACAAACTCCTGTGATAATGTGATGTGTCATAGTGACAACTATTGCCTAGCATGAATTCCTCTCTATATTTACAGACCGTGTAGGCACCAATTCTGAAAAAAAATATATATATATATTTTCCCTCTGAAAAATCTTATTTTGATTCTTGTGACATTGTAGATTAATTGTCAATATTAAAAATAAATATTTAAACCAGTCAAGCAGAGTAAAACCAGATTCAGATGTCAAATCCTTCTCAGAGGTGGTGGGCGTCTTTAAACAGTTATTTAGCTTTCAAATTGGCCTCATTCAAATCCAGTGCAGAAGCTTGAAAGAGATCAGAATTCGACAGCTTTACGAACTAAAAGCATGCCCTGTCAGTATATCATCTACATCCGCCACTGCTGAATCATTGTACTGCTCTGCATGCTAGACCGACTGAGAAGAAAAATACAGCCATTCTGAAAAGTGCACTTTAGTTTCATGGCCAAGGGCTGCTGTTCCCTTTTTTCTGATGGGTTTTTTCTATATGCCCTGAAGTTAAATGAAAGAAGAGTGCTGAAGAGGGAAGGAACTGTCAGAAGACTTCATTCGCTTGGAGCTTTAATGACAGGATTCCATTGTCCAATGAAAACCATCAGTACTCAATGTCCTGACTAGAAGACACGCTCAAGAGATGCCTACCTTTTTCTTTGATTTGAAGACGTTACATCGAAACACATTGCTCTGTCCATCTCTCACTATATAACTGAAGATCTTCAGATCTTGAGAGTCGTGTGATACGTAGAATATCCTGTAAAAAAAAAAAAAAAAGGATTAATCTAACGTGTGCAGTACTGTCAAGGACAGTAGATTCCATTGGAGTGAAAAAGAGAAAAATGCCTTTATTCCTGCATTTGCTTCCTTTTTCTTGCAATATTTTGATCCAAACCACCACTGTGTACCCTTTTATCAGGTATCCATTAATGTTGTGTGGAAGGGACATTTAGAAATGACCTTTGGCTGTGTGTTTTTGTTGGGCATCGAAACAAAAATGGTGCTTGAATTGTAGCAAAAAAAGCAGCAACAACATGAGTCAATGAAGCACATTCAGTTCTTGTGACACTATGTGAGTGCATTTACCCCAATGCAAACAGGACATGTAGCAAGGAACAAGTAGCAATGCAGATCAGAGAGTAAAACACTACATAAACCAAAAGATAAATAATTGACACCATGCAAATCCAGATCAATTTCCTCCACGAGAGTAGAGGATTTTCTTCAGAGCTTGATAAAAAAAAATCTGAAAGTCTCATCGCAGATGAATAAAACACATCAATGTCAAATGCAACTTCTTTCACACACATCCACAGAGAACCTCACATGTAAAACTGCCAAAGAAATGATAGACAAATAGCTAGATTGCAAGACAACATGACACATTCACCAAGAAGCAAGCAAGCTGGTTTGGTGAGTGCTGGCTTGGTGGGGGTATTTTGTATTTTGCCATTCACTAAACCTTGACAGACAAAGAAAAAATAAAAATCTTAGATTATTTCAGTGGGTTTGTCAGAGAGTGAATAATTGGCAGCAGGAAGCAGAAATGCCTAAATCGACACGGTGCTTTAAAGCTATTTAAAAGCGAAGGAAAGCGAGGAAAAGAGGCAAAATTCAAATGAACTAACAACTAACAATTGCTTTACGCTGAATTGCCGCTATTTGAAAGTGAAAGTAAAATGCGCACGCCGCTTAAGCAAGCTATTTAAAAGCGAGGGAAAGAGGAAACGCCCCTGCCCTCACGGTGATACCGGTATTATCGGTGTTGTCATACGTCGATTAACTGGTGGGAAAATTTCCTCACCGTCAAAACCCTACATCAAAACATAATTCTCACCGAGATGATAAAAATCACAGATGTGTGACAGTGTCCAAAAACATTCACCAGATGCTTGGGTACATAGTTCTGCAGTCAGATCATCAGAATGTGTAAAAATGGTCCTCAATTTTGGTCTTCAATCTACTTAATGAAAAATAAATGGAAAATTACATATTTGTTAGTAGATGATCCTGATTAAAATGACCCCAAACACAATACAGTGTAATAATTGCTTGCTAACTTTCCCTTAAAAAAACAAACAAACAAAAAAACTGTAATACCCGGTCTTAGGGAAAAAACAGTAAGGCAAAAGTATAATAAATTATTGATTACAATTATGTGTTGTAATTTCATTATCGTCACCTGATATCAGTATACATTTCCCAATTATCTTTGAATAATTCAGTCATGATATACATCACACATCTCTAATTATCTGAGACATTAGAAATCAAATACTATATTGATCTCACCACTGAAGAGCAAGAGCAGGTTGACCCTTTGTGATAAAAGCCTGACAGTAGGCCTGTCGCAATAATCAATATATCGACTTATCGCGCAATATATGTACATGACCTCAATAATTGTTGGTGATGCAATATATCGCCCATTATATTTACTTAAAAATGAATGTCACCGTGTTTTTTACAGTCCACGTGCGTCTGTGTCTTCTGCAGCTTCTCGTACATAACGTGGTGTAGTCATGAGGTGCTAGTTCAAATTTAAAAAAATGCTTCTACAAAAAAAAGTTTCATCTGAAGATATGGCCTTGTTTAAGGATCTGTGCCTTTTTGTATACAGACACCTGACTGCTAAGTAGTGATTGTGTTTTTCAGGAATAGTGTGCACCCTTAATTTACAGAGAAAAGTCTGTAGATGGAAAAATCTTCATAAAAGTGCATTTTTCTTTTTTTTTGTACTTGTTACTTTGCACTTTTTGTTAGAAAATGTTTATTTACTATTTATTCAAGGTTTTTAAGGTATCTAATATTTTGATACTTAATTTCCATGATCTAAATATTCTTAAATTAAAAGTTTGTTGTCATTTGGAAGTGTGTAGGCCTTCTTGCATTATTATGCTGTTACATTATGATTATATATTCAGTGGCATAAAATGGTCTTTAAAATGACAATAATATCACTTATCACAATTATTTCTGGGGCAATATATTGCACAACCAAAAGTTGTTATCGTGACAGGCCTACCTGACAGTGAGGAAATCTGTATCTAAAAGCTCACAAACATCCTGAGCTGTTGTTGTATTAGCTTGGGAAATATTTGTTAATGATCGCTATAGTCTTTATTTGGACAAATGCAGAATTGATATGGACCCAACATTAACACTACTAAGAATGTCAGCATGTTACATGTCAGAGCTTGCTGATACAAGATTGCAGAGATGATAAAGGGATCGAATAAACCCTGTAAGCAAGCTGTACCTAAAGAACAATCATCTCAACTATATTAACCCACTAGTCTGCTCAGGGGTGCTGTACAGATGGGTGAAGAAAAACCCCAATCATTAAGTGAATTCTCCTCGTTGCTGTTGATATTTCAGGGAGACATGCCGCATCAGCGATTTGCACAAATGACACATGCTGTTTAAGAGCTTTTTCCCACGCCACTTTAATTCATCAAGTCTGAAAGCAGAATGAAGAGCTGAAATATCTGCTGAGTATATGTAATGCACACCACATCACCCATCATAATATAAAGAGTGATTTTACTACACAACCATTACGTAGTCTTATTTAACTTGTTGCTCTGCTTGAGAAATGTCTGATTAAGAATATAATGAGCATATCATATCTACTAGAAGGCAAAGTGCTGGTTTGCTCATTTCTGAGATATATAAGACGCCAGTTCTAATCAATGCTATTTCTACATTCTAGGCAAGTGCGCCCATTTAACACGGGCAGAATAGGCTAAAGTAATGATAAATTAGCATTAAGATCTCAAAGCATTCATCCTGATTTAATGAAAAAATCAATAGTGATGAATTTTAGGGATGCCTGGATTGTCTAAAAATGTGTTTTTCAATGTCCCTGAAAAGAGTCATATGCAGGAGCAGGACATTGCACATTTGTACTTTTTCAGGTATCACTGTTATCATTATTACTCATAACAGTTAACCTAAGTAGAACCTAAGAGCATTTTTGCTGCAGTGCCCGTGGAGCAGTTGGGGGTCTCACCTCAGTCGTGGAATTGAGGGTGGAAGAGAGCACTGGTCATTCACTCCCACCACCTACAATCCCTGCCAGTACCGAGACTTGAACCCGCAACCTTAGGGTTACAAGTCAGACTCTCTAACCATTATGCCAATACTGCCCCCACAGATCTAGAAACCCTAGTAACCACTGAAAACACCTTAGCAATCAAAGAAATGCCTCAGCAACTATTCACGAAATTTCAGCTACCCACAAAATGGCATGACAACCATCTAAAAACCACCAACCGCCTACAACACCCTAACATTGAGAGTTTTGTACAATAAATGTAAATTAAAGGCATAAAACAAAAACCGGACCTATTCTTCAAAATGTTCGCCATTCGGCATGTATTGAAGTAACGAATCTGCCTAAATCACTTCCAAACTCCCCTGCCCCTCTGGTGAATTTTTCAATATGTTTCTACACAGGCAAGTGTAGTCATGAGGACTGTATAGAGGAGCCATGATTTCCTCTGCACTTTACTACTAATGAGAGATCTGAATTATTGATGCCTCTTATTATATCTCTGTTAGTATCAGCAAGCCAGTTCTCCCTGCTCCTGATGCCAAGTTTATGCTCTGGGTGACAATAAAGATGCACAAATGTCACCGTTGCTCTTCAGAAGGGGGGCAACAACAGGCAATCTCACACCTTCAGAGCTGACACGGCCCCAATCCCATCATCTTTATAGAGAGTCCCCATACACACATGATTCAGTCTCTTCAGCTTGCAGTCAAACACACTCACAGAAGCTGTTAAACGCCTCCTGGGGTTGCTGCCCCTAGTTCAGCAGGCTGTTGGAAAGCAAAAATCATTGTAATCACTTAACTAGGCACAAATTACAGTCAAACTTGAGCGTTATCTTCATGGAAATTATTTAGGATGTGACTGTTTTTTCATTCATTGTACTCAACCAACTTAACTTTAAAAATGTTTTAAAACTAAATGCCTCCATACAAGAGGGTCAATAGACCCCAATCGTTTACTGGTTTCAGGTATGCCAGATAAAAATAAATATTGTCCTGACATGTCAGCTGCCTCATCCAATGAGTCAGGGGATTGCATATGGGCATGTTGTCAAGTTCAAGCAGCAAATTTTGGTGAAGATGATTAATGTGTTTTGATTAGGCTTTCATGTGATTCTGCAATTGCTGAGGACACACAGCCAAACAGGATTTTAAACCGCACATTCATACAGTTACCATCAGCAGCGGTTACATAAGGAACAACTGCATTGCTAAAAGGCTTTGCAGAGAACAAACACTTCTAAGCACTTTCTCCTGTAGCTTATTGGCTGCCGCTCTGATTACCATACAATATTCGCATTTCCTGCAGAGCTACAGAAATGAAAATCACAGAAGAACATGTCATTTTCATTTTCACAACAACAAGCTGGGTGTCCTTCAGTCACACACTAGGGGTCGACCGATATGTGTTTTTCAAGGCCGATGCCGATACCGATTACTACAGATCAAGAAGACCGATAACCGATATTTTTAACCGATATACTGTATATGTCTGGTGTAAAAATTAAAATTAATGTCAAAATTAAGAATAACAAGGGCTCTGAAAAAAACTGCCTTCCCTGGTGTTGGTTAAGTGTAGTACTCCCACAGTAAACTCTTTATTTTAAAGAGTTAAACCTTTATTTTTTGGCAAACAAAGGGTTTACCATTAAAATTAAAACATGGAAGAAATAGCGTATTGTGTGATTATTCTTTTAAACAAAAGT